TATCCATATCATAGGGATACCAGAAGGAGAAAAAAGGGAGCAAAGCATAGAGAATCTGTTCGAAAAAGTAATGATGAAAAACTTCCCTAATTTGAGGAGAGAGAAAGTGACACAAGTCCAGGAAGCACAGAGGGTCCCATTCATGAAGAACCCAATGAGGCCCACTCCCAAGATACGTCATCATTAAAATGGCAAATATCAAAGACAAACAGAGAATCCTAAAGGCAGCAAGGGAGAAACAGGTAGTAACATACAAGGGAGCCCTGATACAGCTAGCATCTGACTTCTCAACAGAAACCCTAAAAGCCAGAAGGGAATGGCAAGAAATATTCCAAGTCATGAAAAGCAAGGGCCTGCAGCCAACACTGCTCTACCCTGCAAGTCTCTCAATAAAAATGGAAGGTGAAGTAAGGAGTTTCCCAGACAAAATAAAGCTAAAAGAATTCACGTTCACCACACCAGCAGTAAAAGATAAGCTAAAGGGACTGCTTCAAAAAGATGAAGAAAAAGAGAGAGAAAGAGAGGATCACAGGTACAGAGGGAAAACATAAATAACAACATATCAATAATAACTTTAAATGTAAATGGATTAAATGCCACAATCAAAAGACAAAGGACAGCTGAATGGATAACGACACATGAGGCACACATATGCTGCCCACAAGAGACCCAACTCAGAACAAAGGACCTACACAGACTGAAAGTAAAGGGATGGAAAAAAAATACTCCAAGGAAATGAACAGGGGAAAAAAGCACGGGTAGCAATACTATGAAACAAAATAGATTTCAAAACAAAGGCCAAAAAAAGAGACCCAGAGGGACACTTCATACTACTTAAAGGAAGAATCCATCAAGAAGACATAAACATTGTAAACCTATATGTACCAACATAGGAGAACCCAAATATATAAGTAAAATCTTGGAAAACCTCAAGATATACACAGAAACACAGATACTAGGTGATTTTAACAAACTATTGTCAAAAATGGATATATCTACCAAACACAACATCAAAAAAAAAAATTGTGAAACGGAATGATGCATTAAATCAAATTTAACTGACATATATAGAACCTCACATCCCAAAGAAGCAAAATACACATTCTTTTCAAGGGCGCATGGAACTTTTTCAAAGATAGACCACATAATAGGATACAAAGCAAGACTCAGCAAATTCAGGAAGACTGAAATAATACCAAGCATTTTCTCGGACAACAAGGGTCTAAAACTGGAATTGAACCTCAAGGAAAAACCTCAAAAACTTGCAAACTCATGGAGACTGAGCAGCACACTATTAAACAATGAATGGGTAAATAATGAGATAACAGAAGAAATAAGTTTCTAGAAACAAATGAAAATGAACATACAACAGTCCAAAATCTAAGGGCCATAGCAAAGGCAGTCCTGAGAGGGAAGTTCATAGCAATACAGGCCTACCTAAAAAGACATTTCAGATAAAAAAGAACCAACACTACAATTTCAAGAACGGGGGAAACAACAACAAATAAACCCCAGAGCAAGTAGAAGGAAGGAAATAATCAAGATTAGAGCAGAACTGAATGACATAAAGACAAAAAAGAACAACTCACAGAATCAACGAATCTAGGAGCTGGTTCTTTGAAAAGATAGATAAAATCAACAAGCCTTTAAACAGACTCATCAAGAAAAAAAGGGAGAGAACCCAAATAAATAATATCAGAAATGAAAGAGGAGAAATAACAACTGATGCCACAGAAATACAAAGGATCTTCAGAAACTACTATGAACAATTCTATGCCAAGAAATTTAAAAACCTCAATGAAATGGACGAATTTCTAGAAAAGTATAATCTTCCAACACTGAAGGAGGAAGAAACAGACAGCTTGAACAGACACATTAACAGCTGAGGAAACTGAAGCAGTAATCAAGAAATTCCTGACACACAAAAGCCCTGGGAAAGACAGTTTCACAGGAAAATTTTACAAAACATTTAAGGAAGAGCTAACCCCTGTCCTTCTCAGGCTATTCCAAAAAATGCAAGAGAAGAGAAGACTCCCAGACACTTTTTATGAGGTCAGCATCACCCTTATCCCAAAACCAGATAAAGACCCTACAAAGAAAGAAAACTACAGGCCAACTTCATTGATGAACATAAATACTAAAATCCTCAACAAAATATTGGCAAACTGCATCCAGCAATACATTAAAAAGATTATCGATCATAATCAAGTGGGATTCATCCCAGGGATGCAGGGATGGGTCAATATACACAAGTCAATAAACGTAATACATCACTTAAACAAAAGGAAAGACAAAACCCTCATGATCATCTCAATAGGTGCAGAAAAAGCATCCGATAAGGTACAGCACCCACTAATGATGAAAACACTCAGCAAAATGGGAATAAATGGGGCATTCCTTAATGTAATGAAGGCCATATATGAAAAACCTACAGCCAACATCATACTCAACGGGCAAAAACTGAAAGCTTTCCCACTAAGATCAAGAACACTACAAGGATGTCCACTTTCACCACTTCTTTTCAACATGGTACTGTAAGTCCTAGCCACAGCGGTCAGACAAGAAAAAGAAATAAAACACATCCAAATAGGAAATGAGGAAGTAAAACTAGCATTGTTCGCAGAGGACATGATAGTGTATATAGAACACCCTGTAGACTCCAACAAAAAAGTACTCAATCTAGTAAGTGAATTTGGCAAAACAGTGGGATGCAAAGTCAATATTCAGAAATCAAAGGCATGTTTGTACACCAGCAATGAAATAGAAGAAGAAGAAATCCGAAAAAAAGTACCATTTGAAATAGCAACAAGAAAAATAAAATACCTAGGAGTAAATTTAACCAAGGAGGTAAAAGACCTTTATGCAGAAAATTATACAACATTGAAGAAAGAAATTAAGGAAGACACAAATAATTGGAAGCATATACCATGCTCATGGAGTGGAAGAATTAATATCATCAAAATGTCCATACTACCCAAAGCAATTTACAAATTGAATGCAATCCCTATTAAGATACCAATGATGTATTTCACAGAAATAGAACAGACATTTCAAAAATTTATATGGAACCATAAATGACCCCGAATAGCCACAGCAATTTTGAGAAAGAAACACAACGTAGGAGGGATCACAATACCGGACATCAAACTCTACTACAAAGCCACTATACTCAAAACAATCTGGTACTAGCACAATAACATACCCATAGACCACTGGAACAGAATAGAAAGCCCAGAAATAAGCACAGGTCTCTATGGGCATCTAATATTTGACAAAGTGGGCAGAAGCAGAAACTGGAGCAATAATAGCCTCTTCAACACATGGTGCTGGGAGAGCTGGACGGCTTCATGCAAAAAAATTGAAATTGGATCATCAGCTGACACCATACACAAAAATAAACTCAAGATGGAACAAAGACTTAAATATAAGTCGCAACACCATAAAAGTCCTATGGGAGAACATAGGCAGGAAACTCTGAGATATCCCATGCAGCAAGATTTTCACCAATAGGTCTCCTAAAGCAAGGGACATAAAGGAAAGAATAAGCAAGTGGGACATCATGAAAATAAGAAGCTTCTGCACGGCGAAAGAAAACATCAGAAAAATGAAAAGGGAGCCAACCATATGGGAAAATATATTTGCTAATGATACATCAGACAGAGGTTTGATCTCCAAAATATATAAAGAACTCACTGGACTCCACTCCAAGAAGAGAAACGATCCAATCCAAAAATGGGCAAAGGACCTGGGCAGACGCTTTTCCAAGGAGGAGATACAGAGGGCCCAGAGACATTGGAAAGGATGCTCGGCATCACTAGCCATCAGAGAAATACAGATCAAAACCACAATGTGATTCCACCTCACACCGGTCAGAATGGCCATGATAAACAGATCAACAAACAACAGGTGCTGGTGAGGCTGTGGAGTCAAGGGAACACTAGTACACTGTTGGTGGGAATGCAGACTGGTGCAGCCATTGTGGAAAACAGTATGGAATTTCCTAAAAAACTAAAAATGGAACTCCCTTTTGACCCTGCAATTCCACTGGTGGGACTATACGCTAAGAATCCCAAAACACCAATTCAAAGGAACCTATGCACCTCTTGTTCATAGCACCACAATTTACAATAGCCAAGTGCTGGAACCAACCGAAATACCCATCAGAATGATTGGATCAAAAAACTATGGTATATTTACACCAAGGAGGGAAGGGAGGGAAGGAGGAATGGCTACTGCTCCTTGCACGGCATGGATGGAACTGGAGAGCATTATGCTAAGTGATATAAGCCAAGCGGTGAAAGACGAATACCATATGATTTAACCTGTAAATGGAACCTAATCAGCAAAGCACGCAGGCAAGGAAAATATGACCAGCAACATTGAAAGAAAGAAGAAACCGATGGGCATAGGAGGGAAGGAGGGAAGAGGGTAGTGGGGAGGGGAAGGGAAAGGGTCAGATTAAAGATCAAGTGTGAAGGACACATGGATGAAGCCAACGTGGGGAGGATGGAGGTGAGGAGGTGGGGTGGGTGGGACAGGGCAAAGTGGTGGTGGGTAAATGTTGACAAATGCATGTGAAAATTTTTTTTAAATAAATAAATAAATTTAAAATAAAAGAAGTAATTGATTTTTTTTTAGGCTTGGATTTACTGGGTTAATCTGACTGAACACTTCTGTGTTGGATGGGGCATTTTGATTGCAGCTATACTGGAAATAGTACTAGTCAACTGGATTTATGGTAAATTGTGACTATGGACTTATGTATACTCTTTATTCAAATAACGCAATTTTATCCTTTCCATTATGTGTACTATAATAATAAATTACAATATAGCTAGGCAAAATACATTATAAATAAAAGGTAAAGGTGTAATGCTTTGTTGCTGTAGTATAGGAAAACATTCAGACTTAAAATTTGGGGCCACAACGATTAATGGAGAGAATACAAACAAAGGCTGAAAGCACTGTCTGTTGATTGTTTTCTTAGGGGGGGAACAGATTCATTAAAGATATAGAAATGATGATTGGAGCAAAAAGGTGGATATTCTGGCTATGGTGGAGAGCTTGCTGGTTTGCCATTACGCCTATTCTTTTGATTGTAAGTATTAATATGGTATGGATTTGGTATCAATAATATTTATCTAAACATTTCTAAGATAACCCTGAATAACTCACACTGGAGACAACAAGGCAAACTAATGTCATAAATTAATGATTCTCAACCTCTGCTTTATGAGTGGTGCCTCCGAGCTGCCTAAATTAAATGCCTCTGCAGTATTCTTTCTGAGGCCATGGCTGTAAAGATTTACTATTTGAGAGAATATACAGGCTCCTCCTACACACTTAACATTTCTATGTGTTTAAGAAATTCCAGTAGGATAAATAAATCATTCATATGCTCATTCCCTAAAGAAAATGCTAGGTACAGACCATACAAACATGCACATGACCCATACTCTGGCTTCATGGAATTCAATCTAAATATACTAATTGCTAAGAACTGCTACTCATATTTTAATGCATTTTTTCTCTATATAGGAGGTACTTATAATATTCCCAAAAGAAACTCAGCTGTGTCAATAGAGGCAACAGTTTATGCTAGTAAATTTAACAGTTGGTGCTATTTAGGAGCTGAGGAAAAGCAAAATTTGTCTTCCTGGAGGGACATGACATACAGACATGCTATCTTTAAATAACAGTTCAGGGCAATAAGTGGCTGAATGCCAGAAACTAGCACTTAGTGGGATGGGTGATTATTATCGACTAAAGACAGTGGTGAGGGTGTGACAGTGACAAAGCTTCGCTGAGGATGTTTTCGTTCTTATTGCCTCCATGGTTCAAAGGTTTTCCTAGAAAAGGCCATTAAATAATTTGATGTAAAATTTGCTTCACATCTGAAGTATCATGTGTTTTAGAGGGAATTAATTTTTTTAACATTAAAAGGTCAGTTTCATTTATTAATTTTTTTTCAAATACATTTGTCTCTGCCTTCCCCCCACCACTTTCCCCTGCCCCCTCCAAGCACATTATTGTCCATAATGCGGGTGAATTTCATCCAAGCAGTTGATCAGTTGATGGTCTTAAGAACAAAGGCTATACCTGTGTGTGTGTGTGTGTGTGTGTGTGTGTGTGTGTGTGTATTTTATTATTTAAAATTTCTCTGGAGAACCTTAATAATACAGGAAAAAAAAAGGTCAGTTTCAAGTTGTGAGCAGTTTGAGGCCAGATGTGCTGAATTAAAATGTGGATGCCCTGTATTCTTGCTAAATGATTTTCACGGTGCTGAGAAATATTGTTTGGCCCTTCTGGCAAGTCTCTGTTTTAAATTAAGACCCTTATCAATTTAGAAGACCTAGCTAGACTTTCAGCCAGCCCACTTTCATTGATTACATAGGCTTGACAACTGAATTTACTTTTAAATGCAAAGGTCTTAAATATTAAATGATATACATCATCAGCCATTTGTATAAAGATATGTACATTAAGCTCCACTATCCCTCATTCATTCTCTTGCACTTAGGTAAAATTATGGTAATTGTAAAATGTATTTTCAATTACTGTAATTAATTTAATGGAATTAAGCTATCTAACTCTAAAATTAAATTTGACTATTTTATAAAGACTCTTGCATTCTAAAGACATTCTAAATTTAGAGGAACTAATAGGTGCTTTTTTTGTTTTGAGCACTTTGTTTTTACAGATTTCTAAATACATAATTAGTTTTAATGCTGCAACATGGTTTTTTAGGACATTTTTTAGAAAACTTGGCCTTAACGTGTTTCAGCTTTAAGAGTCAGATTTCACTGTTTTACCCATACATAACTGATTTTTTCCTCAAGAGGCTGAAAGTGAAGTGTGCTTTGGTAAATAAATATGTACGTACTACACACACGTGAATGCGTGTGTGCTTGGAGGTTGAGTAGGGATGCTCTGGGCAGTGGGAAATACTAGAAACAATTGCTAAGCAAGGAATGAAAGCGTGTTCACTACTGTGTACTTCACATTCTCATTGAATTAACTGATATGCTGGCTAGCTTGTGGCATAGAATAAAACCACGGTATTATCAATAAAAGTTAAAAGTTAATAACAAAATTTCAGATGTTATTTTACATCCAGTCTGCTACATTTTATGGCAAAGTATTTTATCGAAATACATGTTGGACAAGTATTTCTATCTTTTGTAAGTGTGTATATCGAGGTGCTATTTTTGGAAGAAGTTCTTCAAAGCCAAATACAAGTTACTTCGATTGGTTCACTTAGTATTGTCATCTTCTGGCTAGTTACTTGATTATCTTAGTTGCTCAAATGCATTTTCATTCATTGTAATTGCTTTTGATGAATTATTGCTAAGGAATGGAATCAAATTGCTAATAATTAGTGCAACTGAAACCACCAGTGCAATAAAGTCTGATCTTTAGCATTGTCTCTTCATATGTTAACTTTCACAGGCAATTTTTATCTGGTCACTGGTGAAATTTGACACACCTAAGTACGGTGACATTCCATACCCGGACTGGGGAGTTGCTCTAGGCTGGTGTATGATTATTTTCTGCATTATTTGGATTCCAATTATGGCTATTATAAAAATAATTCAAGCTAAAGGAAACATCTTTCAAGTAAGCACGTTAAATTAATATTATTTGTTCACCACCCCAAGTCTCTTTCCATCACCATTTATCCCCCCTTTACCCTCTCCTACCTTCCCCCAACCCCCTTTCCTGCTGGTAATCACTATACTGTTTTCTGTGAGGGCTTTTTTAAATCCCTTCACCTTCTTGATCCAGCCCACCTACCCCTGCCCCTCTTGACAGCTGTCAGTCTGTCGTCCCTATCTATGAGTCTTTCTATTTTGTTAGTTCATATACAGATGGTGTATTATAGAATTGTACCTCTGAAACCTATAAATTTTGTAAACCAGTATGACCCCACTTAATTCGATTACAAATTAACATTATTTGTACTTCATATGAAGCACTATGATCAAAGCAAAGATTAATTTACCCATACGGTGTTAATATGAGATTATGACCATGAGTTCAAATTAATCACTCTTACCTTTGGGCAACTTTCATTCCTGAGACAAACATTCATTTCTATGTGCATACCATCATATTATAGTATACATGTATTTGTGTGTCTCCCTGTCCTAGACTCTAAGCTCCTTTAAGGAGAAGTCTTGTCTTGCTTGCTGCTGTAGCCTCAGGCCCTGTCAGAGCGCTTAGCACATGAATCTTATTGTATCTGTCCTTGTACTAAGATGATGCAGTGCAAATGACCTTTTAGTTTCATATCTAGAACCTTCACTTTTAAAACCTGGTCACAAAAAAACATCCTGGCCTGCTTATAATACACTTCCTAACAGCATGTTTACACTGGAAAAGCCTGGTAAGTGATCTTGAGCCCAAACTAGATCCTAAGTCATCCCTCTTCCATGGAGGCCTCGGGGGATGGACTTGATTATGACACATCACTGAGACAAAGGGCATTGACAAGGTCGGCTCAGCAGTCAGATTTTTAATAAACCTAAGCCCATTCAAGAATGGCTCTAGATCAGTTGTTTCACCCTGGAGCTCCCTTCTTTCGGTTCTTGAAATTTCCCAGGTGTACACTGGCTTAGATTATCACCCAACTGTCACTCTAAGGGCAGGGCAAAGAAATTTAAAATTCTAGCCCTGGCTGGTGTGGCTCAGTGGGCTGAGCGCTGGCCCACAAACCAACTGCTCACCGGCTCAATTCCCAGTCAGGGCACGTGCCTGGGTTTGCGGGCCAGGTCCCCAGCTGGGAGCGTGCAACAGGCAGCTGATAGATGTTTCTCTCCCTGTCTCTCCCCCTCCCTTCTCCTCTCTCTAAAAATAAATAAAATCTTCGTCAAAAAAAGAAATTTAACATTCTAAAATAAAAATACAGTTTGGTATTTATTTATTTACAGATTGTAGCACTTAAGTTCTAAGAGAGCGTTTTTTCCTCTGTTCCAGCGCATTGTAAGCTGCTGCAGACCAGCTTCTAACTGGGGCCCATACTTGGAACGACACCGTGGGGAGAGATACAAAGACATGGCAGATCTGAAGAAAGAGACTGACCATGAAGTACCCACTATCAGTGGCAGTGGAAAACCAGAAACCACACTAAGTTCTAATTTTTAAAAATATGTGCCTGTGCCACGTGATTACTTAAGAGAAAATTTTATTTATTTGTATGTTACTTGAACAAAAAATGTATATATTATGTTCATAATAGCATAACAACTGCTTTTCTCACTTAAGCAGGAATGTAGTATAAAAAATGCGAATCTAGTAATTTTTATCAATGTGCTTCTGATATTTCTTTTTAGATGATCTGTGTCACACCTCCTATCTGTATTTCACAATGACATTCTTGTACATATTACCATAATATTTTTCTACTATACTGAAGGCTTTGAGCAAATTATATGGAAAATAGTTGTATTTTCTATCATACAAGTTCTGAAATATTACCTGCTTATATTTCCTTGCTATACAGTCTTTTCTCCATAAAGCTGGAGAAAATGAATCAGTATATTTAAAAGAAAGTGTTAAAATTGAAGGCCTTACTCAATTAGAAACGTTATACGTACATGGAAAAAAACAGGCTATGTATATAACACGAGGACTGTAGATTAGGACTTCTGATATAATGTCTAAAGACTTTATGTATTTATGGCTCACTTTTTCTTTGTGAACTTAGTAGTCATCTTCTTTATTTTCATATGTGAAATAAGGCAGAAAAATTAGGATCCTGTGGCCTGGAAGTGATAAATTAAGAAAACAGAAAGCAAGAGTTGTTGAATACTTCTCCATATAATATCTTTCTTAGGTTATATTTGGAAGGAAAATCTGATCCATCTAATTTGTACTGTTTCACAAAATTCAGAGTAGTTCATTGTATTCGCCAAAGTCTAGGTGTGATTTCAAATACAATATGGAACAAAATACTAATGAGGAAATGACTTCAATCAAATTTTAAAACTTATGTTGTAATACATAGTTAATAAATCAAGTGGAATGATTTCATCTTCTTTGAATACGTTACTACTGACATGCTTATAGAGATAAACTTGTTAAACTTGTCAAGAGTGAGAGAAACCAAATTAGAAAGTCCTATGTCCCAGCTTCCTTACAGAAGATAATGAAAACATTATACCACTAATAGTTTTCTTACACTGCTTGCATATTATTGAAAACTGGGCCCAGGCTGCCGTGGCTCAGTGCTTTGAGTGCTGGCCTGTGAAAGAAAGTGTTGCTGGTTCTTTTCCCAGTCAGAGCACATGCCCGGGTTGTGGGCCAGGTATCGTATCACAGGCATTCTACCATTGTGTTTTGACGCTATTTGGGGTGTGATTTTTTTAAAGTCGGAAAATGCATGCAGCTTTCTGTAGGTGACTCTTGCAATTCAGGAAAGACTTGGACACAGGTCTAATGACATACTGTCGAATTGGTAGTGGGGAGGGGGTGCTTAGGGAGAGATCCCGTTTCAGAGCTCACTACGAGTGTGTGTGACCCTTCACAAAGGTGTGAAGCACAGATCTTAACAGAGTGCCTTGTATACTTTAGGGTACTCAATGACAGCTCTTACTGTTAGTACACAGATTCCACAATGGTGAGAAAGAGTGTTCTGCATAATGGAAAGCGTCTTACCGAATCTCATTTACTTTGATGCAAACTTGGAGATGCGCAGTACTGCCCTGTAAACCACTAGAGAAAACCATTTTTCACACTTAAGTTAAAATCACTATATGTCAAGGAGATTCTTTCCCTGTAGCTTATTGAAAAAAACCACTTGAATGATTTTTCTTTCTCTTTTGTGTTTTCATTCCTTCCCCGGTAAAATATATACTAGCAACATCTCATCAATTCTTAAATGTGAGTAAGCAAACTGATAATGTCTGGATTTGGTATCTTACTTGGCGTAGCCTCCCCACTTTAAACAATAAATCATTTGGTATAAACGCATATAATCAAATGAATCCACTCAAAGTGCGTTTAATCACTATCCGTGTCCTCACTGTCAGTACATTCTGAAAGCATGCCAGTGTATTCACAGTTAACGCAAGCACCGTCTAAATGCCTGGTACCTAGTAAATGTTCCAGTTCAGCCAGCTTGTATTCCACCACCCTGAGGTTTACCAGTATTCGTTTGTGCATGACTACTGACTGCGGGGAATTAATTAAGGTATCCTGAGAGAGGCCGATGACTGTCAGGCTGCTACCGATGTCGCTCTTACTGGACCCAGTAGAAGTCGATGCTCTTACTGGCACAAGAGCAGTCGAGTTTGATGACATTTCACCGATGTTCCTCTGTAAAGAAAATAAATCACACATATGTAGTTGATTGAGCTTAGCAACTTACGAATACTACCGAATAACCACATGCTTAGTCTTGCTTATGAAAAGGAAAGGACTGTCCTTCCCTAAGAATTAGAGATTAAAACTCTGTGGAATGACTACACTGATTTGGAAACATGCTCTTTCCAAACACAGGCTGAGGGGGAAGATACACGAAAGTGACCTTTGAATGTTGAAATGCCATACCCTTGCCTTACATTTCTTGGGCAGTGCAGTAGGTCTGTATTTGGGCCCTGTCTGATCCTTACCTAGAAGTTCTTAATCTGCAACTTTAAATAGCACCAGGAATTTCACATTTTGACCCAAAGTAGTTGTGAATGTCCCCAAAGTTATCATAAAGATGGGTGAAAAGGAAAATAGGAGGGAGAGGCAAACAGAAACACAGGGGCGGGAGAAGGAAGAGAAGCAAAAAGAGAAGGTAGAGATTCTTTTTTACAAATTTTAAAATGGGAATGTACTGGGGGGCACTGGTAAGTAAAAGCATATGGGTTTCAAGCACACCCCTCCACGACACATCATCTCTATGCTGAACCGAACGTTCACCACCTCAAGTCAAGTTTCCCTCCACCACCATCCATCCACCCCCATCCTTCTGCCTTCCCCCACCCCACCGCTCCCTCCAGCAACCACAGCAGCGGGAGGCGGTGCTGGAGAGTGGGCACTGCAAGCAGTGCTTCTCAAGTGGGTGGGAAGCCGACCATAGCATCAGTGGCTGGGGGCTTTTTACAACAGATCGCAGCTATCAAATCCCTGGTCCAGATGAGAGAACTGTGGGTCCGGGGAAAGAATAAACCTCTGGGGCTCTAGAAAGAGGAAAAGGGGAATGAGGTGCCCTCCCCGTACCTTCATTTTACCATTCTGCTATCTTTCTACCTTCTTGGACAACTCCCCACCCATATCTTCCCCTAGCTTCACCTGGTTCCAATCCCTCTTACACCCTTTACCTGAAACCCATGTTGCCAGAAGACAAACACGAGGATGAACAGGATACTGCCCGTGAAGAGCAACAGGATGTCCATGGCTACTCTTCGGCTTCGGCCTCGGCCTTGGCCTCGGCCTCTTCTGCGTCTCAGGCACTGGGCGGGCAGGGGCCGCCAGCCACCGGGACTCCGCAGGCCCCGGCCAGCGCGCTGAGCTTCCCGGACTGCCTGGTACGACTGCGGTGAGCCTCTCAGCGTCCTGCTTTACATCCTGGAGAACACGTGACCGCACAATGGAGCACGGCCGTAAGAGCCCGACGCCACAATCTGAGGACGCAGACTCCCGTCTCCAGGGCACCGGCACGTGACCTCACAGCTGGGCATGCGCGGAGGAGCCCGGCGCCGCAACCCGGGGAAGCCAAGTCTCGTCTCCAGGGCACCAGGAGGCAGGGGGTTCGAGGGGAGAGGAAGAGCCGGACGGTGAACGCAGGATTTCCAGGACGCGGAAACACGGTAGGAGTACCGACTACGAATGGGCTGGTTAAATGCAACATTTTTGAAATGCTCCTCCCTCCTCTCTGTCTTCTTTTTAAAGCTGTGTTTGTCTCTGCTGCAACTATTCCGTTATTCATTTCAAAAACAAGGTAGAAACGCACTGTAAAAAAGTACTTACGCAAGACTGCCAGAAACCTCTTCCATGCTCCCATTGCTGTGTTAGGCTTCACTGCAACCCTGTCGCATTGAGGTAATTATGTACATCTGTGTCACCGTACAGTTTAAAAAGTGATTCAAGGGTCATGTCGCCACGTAATTCTCACAACACTTTGAACTCTTGGTGTTTTCAATAGTGTGTCTAATTTTGGAAATGCAGAAACAGGTTGAGGTGTCAAGTCATTTGAAACTCGAAGCGAAAACAGGACCTAAAATCCGCAGAGCTTCAATCCAGATATAAATTCCCCCATTCTTTCACCTTCGTTCCCAGCCCTGTAATCTCTGCCTCCACTGTTGACTTGTGAGCATCAAGTGTCTCATCCTTTCCCCACAAGGAACCGAACACTGTATTTGGAATAGCGTTGATAAAATCTAACAGCTACAAGAAACGCTGTACTAGACAAGTTACAAATTTCCAAGAAATTTAGAGGAATGTACAAGGTGACACTGAGCCAAAACAAACAAATGAAAAACAACAACAACAGAAAACAAAAATAGCCAGGAATCTCAAGATGAGCGTCAAACTGCAGCTCACTAACTCTGCCTGGGGAATAACTCTCATTTTCACAGAGACAGGATGAGAGGAATTGCATGTACAAGTTTATCACATCTAACTTACTTCACAATTACGAGCTCAAAGCTTAAAGATTTATTTATTCACCAGGTATTTATACTCCCAAGTAAAAGGTGGGCACTGTGATTTTTTTTTATGGTGGATTTTTAACTTTGCCCAGGTTTTACTTGTTGTTAAGGATGGAGTAGCAACTTCCAAGCTTGTTCTATGGTGGACTGGAAAGCAGGAGTCTCAAAGAATTTTGCATCTATATTCATGAGGATATTGATCTGTATTTTCCTTTTCTTTCATTTTCTTTTCTGCAGTGCCTTTGGCTGGCTTTGGTATCAGGGTAACGCTGGCTTCATAGAAGGCATTAAGAAGTCTTCCGTCCTCTTCAAACCTTTGGAAGAGTTTGAAGACTCATGCTAATCACTCTTTAAATATTTGGCAAAATTCAGAAGTGCAGCCATTTGGTCCGGGACTTTCCTTCATTGGAAGGTTTTGATTACTGATGAAATCTCCTTGCTAGTTATAGGCATATTTATATTTTCTGGGGACATG